AGGGCAGGGCGGGGCTCAGCTGGGAGGGGTCAGGGGTCAGGGAGGACTGGGATCCGTGAGTCACCAGCAGCCCTGAGCTGGAGTGACACGACATCTATCGTCATTTTTTATTAGTAAAACCAGACCCAGCCCTCTTTCCTCCAGGAAGACTTCCCTGATTGACAGTCACCCAAGTGCCACTCATCGCTCTTCCCCTAACAGGCTGGATTGTTGGCTCTGCCCTGGTCCCCGTCTGACTCAGCGGCACAAAACCCACCTCACTGTCCACCTCCCAGACTGGCCCTGACCCCGCCACCCCAGGAAATTGCCAGCATCATCTTCCACCCGTCCTGGCCCCTTCCCAGGCGCTCCCTTTGCACACTGATCCTTGGGGCTCTCATCCAGAGACAGAGACCTTCAAGCCAGGGTCCATGTCAAGGTGCCTCTGCCCTCCTGTCCTGTCCCCCCATGTAGGTGCCTGAAGGAGTGACCAGCATCTCGTGTCAGAGGGTCAGCTCCCCAAAGAGAAGACCCCTCTCTCTCAGACAGAGGCTGAGAGCAGGGGCTGCCTCCCCCCTCAGACAGGGGCTCCTGGGGGCAGGGGCTGCCTCCCCACTCAGACAGGGGCTCCTGGGGGCAGGGGATCTCTCTCTCTCACCCAAAATAGATGACCTCCTATTTGGGGATCCAAACCTCCCCTCCTGGACCCATCGCTGACGCCCTAACCACGCAGAGAGGGACACCAGAAACTGCTGGGAAGTTGCTTTATTCTCTTCCCTCCCCGGTGTCCTTCCACACCCATGCACATGCGTGCGCACACACACGGGCACACGCAGACACGCGTGGCAGAGCTCCACTCGGCCGCCCGGCTGGGTCACGTGGCTCCTGGGGCAGGCCTGGGGGCTGTCCGCTTCCTCTAGTAGAGGCTGTGCTGGGCACAGTAGTGGGCGCACAGCTGCCGGTGGTACTGCAGGTGGTAGTCCCTCAGCAGCTGGCCCAGGACGTACAGGAACTCGTCAAAGCAGATCTGGTTGTCCTTGTCCTTGTCCGCTGCCCGGAACAGCTCGGTGACGAAGTACGGCTTCTCCCGGCCCTGAGGAGGGGCGGAGGGTCAGCCAGCCCCCAGGCACTCGGCCCTGGCAGATGGTCCGGCTCCACCTCCCGCTGGCGAGGAGCCACCGCAGGGAAACAGAGTGTGGCCCTGCCTGCTGGGGGCTGGCGGGAAACAGCTCCTCGCTCACTCGGTGGCCAGGACACTGCGTGGCAGAATCAGGCAGAAGGGACACGAGGAGCTGGGCACCTGGACCTGGGCCGCATGGGCAGACAGGTGGTGCAGACTGGGCACCGCTTGCTGGCTGGCCGGCTAGTGGCTGAGCAGGGCTGCCCTCTGCTGGGAGCTTTTAACCTGTCTTCCCAGCTGCACATACACCCTGCAGGGGCTGCCCAGCCTGGGGCTGCACACAGGGAGCTGCCAGTCACCGCCCACCTGTCCCTCAGGCCTGCACCTCCAGCGCCATTGCAGGTCGGCACCCAGTGGGTCAGATTCCCGCAGGGCGTGCCATCCGCCCAGGATTGTTCATGGCAACTGGCCTGTGTCCTCAGGGAAGTGCAGAATGGGGGAAGGCCACCGCCATGGGCCCTGGGACTGTCTGTTGTCCCAGAGCAGTGGCCCTGAGGGCTAGGGACTGGGGGTGGCGTAGGAGAGCAAAGGAGCTTTCGAGGTGAAAGGGACAGCAGGGGGGAGGTCAATGGTCAGAGTGATGGAGGAGACAGGACAGGCGACGATTAGGCGAGCCCCAGGCAGGGCAGCGGCAGTGAAGCAGGTTTCAGCCGGTTTGGGCTGGAGGCGGGGGACCCAGGGTGCAGCCCTCAGAGCTCCCACCCTGGGGCAGACTGGCCCCCTCTGTCCCCCCGACCCACCCTCCACCAGCTACTTCCTTTAACCCCTCCACACCACAGAGCTGGCTGACCCCACAGTGCACAGGCCTCCTGCCTGGGGCAGCTCTCCCAGGCTCCCCTCACTCAGCCCACCTGCCCAGGCTGCTATCTCCGCCCTGTGCCCAGGTGCCTGCCCCGTGGGCCCTGTACCCAGGTGGAAAGGTTTCCCTAGAAACAGGGGCCTAACCACAGTCCCCCAGTCCCCCCTCCCTGACCTGA